CACAAGTTCATTGATTGATTGGAAGACTAAAGTGAGGTAACTTGAGAGGCTATTTCAGGAAAAGTTACACTTAATTTGAGTCCTCAGAGACAGAAGGAATAACAGGAAAATATAGGGAAGACTGCTTTAATCCCAGTCATAGTCATAAGATTTATATTTGATTTGTCCTATGGCTTCTCAAGAAATATAGAAACCAGCCCAAATTTTTTAAAAAATAGCAATATAAATATTTTGTATATCAGACCTGAAGTTATTTCTGACTATATGTTAATAAATAAGCTTCCATCATGACATATCCTTCCATGTTCTTAAAAATATTGTTATAGCCGTTTTCCCCTGGTCTAATCCATTCCCATCAGCACATGACCATAATGTTTATTTCTCTCATTTCAAAAAAAAAAAGGTTCAAAAATTTTTTTCTTTTTTTTTTTTTTTCCTTTTTTTTTTTTTTTTTTTTTTTGCATTTTTTTTCCTTTTTTTTTCTTGAACCCTCTTTAAAATCCAACCTCTTCCCCCTCATTCTATACAACATTTATGATGAATCAAGGTGACTTTCACATTGTTAAATATGACCCCTGCCTGAGTATTCTTCTTAGTAGACACATCTTCAGTATTGGACAGAGGTATTCATTCCCTCACTAAGCCTCTAGGACCTCACTCATTCACTGGTTTTCTCTCTCTCTGTCTGGACATTGCTTTACAGATTGAAGTACCACCACCTCTATCCTCTTGCTCAACCTGTGTACTTTGTAGTGCCCCAGTGCAGGGTCCTTGAACCTCCTCATTTTCTATCTTACCATACTTCCTACATGATCATATCAGTTTTTGTAGCTTTAACCACCCTCTATATGCTGTTAATTACAAATGTATATCTGAATCATATGCTCCTTTCCTGAACTTCCAAAACTATCTATTCAACATTCCATAGGAATGTCTAAAGGGAATTTCAAAATTAACATGCTCCAAACAGAACTCTCACTTCTTCCTTCCTTCCTAATATCTACTTCACCCATCGTTTTCCACTCAATTAAGCCCTTGACCTTGATTGATTTTGTACACCACTTTTTTCTTCTAATCTCTTTCCCATAGTGAAAAACCTGATTTTTTGTATTTTCAGAATATTTCCAGGTTACACTTCTTTTCTTTTCCACTGCCAAGGTCAAGCAACACTATTTTTCATCTGAATGATGGAAAAAGCCACTGAAAAATTCTCTCTAATACTGTCCTTGCACTTATTGGATTTATTTTTGCATCAGCATCTCTACATACCACATTTCTGACTTCTCCCCTCTCTATGTCCCCTTTTGTCATGTCCTCATTGTCTTTCCTGGCTTGTTTTTGTTTTCGTTGTTGTTGTTTATTTTTGTTTGGGGTTGCAGGTACACTGGCTCTTGGCTTTGCTTCATTAGTTTTTCCAACTAGGTATTCATTCTCCCAGCTCTCTGCCTTTCTTCACTTCTTTCTTCCTAGTTTCTTCTCAGATAGGCCTTCCCTTACCACCCCACTTTAACTTGCAACCTCTCCATCCCACTGGTGTTTCCCATTTCCCACTCCTGCCTTTTCTTCTTCTCATCACTGACCTGTCCTCCATCTAGACTCTACTCTGTGTGGACAGGTGATTTGGTCTGCATTTTTTTTCTCATTACAGTGCTAGATCAGAGCCTGGAATATAATAAGTTGTCAATAAATATTTAAGGTTGAGGAAAAGAAGGATAAATACATGAAAGTACCTTGATATATATAGTATAATTTGGTGCTGGATACAACTTTTTGAGATAGGTCATACAGGTCTTATTTATTTTTCAATGAAGGCAATTATATTTTGCCCATGGTCACAAAACTAGTTAAGTGTCAGAGATTAAACCCAAACCCAACTCTCTTGATTCCTAACCCCATTTTCATCCCACTACACTAGGCACTAAAAATATAATGTTGTCTGCTCTTGGAAACTACATTGCAGAGTCCCCTAAGAACCTGAAAATAAAGAAATAAGATTGCCTTCTGAGAATTACACAATACAGTCTCCACATAAAATGAATCCCTTACTTTAAAGAACTAGAATTGCTTTTAAACCAAAGGGACCTTTACTGATTAAAAGATTTGACTTTTCTAAAGAAAAAAAAAAACGTTAATAAGAAAAGGCAGACTTGGAAGCACTTGGAAACTGTACTTCAAAGCAATAGTTAGACAAATGCATCCAATGAGCAGGGGCCTCAGCCAGGAAAGTTCGAGAATTTCAGAACCTTCTGTGTCCGTGGGTGCATCAGATGTTAGTCTTCTGCCAATGAACCTTTGATTCATCTCACTGACTTGTTTGTTTTCTGATTCCATGATCACCAAACCACCTTATGACTAATAATTGCTTTTCCAGGCAGCTCTGCCTGTATAGAAGAAAAATTCCTAACATGTACTTCCAGGTATTTGGTCCTAATGTTAGCCATTTCTCATTGAAAATTAACAAAGTGACGTTGTGATTATGATTTGGCTTCTGTGGAAAATAAATTTGGAAGAACAGGCAGACTAATTCCATTGACCCATATATTCTAATCTATGATTGTTATGTTCGAAGATTAAAAAAAAAAACTAAATGGTATTTTTATGTATAAATCTTTTGAGACTTTTCTGTACCTTCCCTCACTTGTGCTGAATACTGACAGGCTCTTCACATGTTTGCTTGTGGGAGAAAATCCACCAGAGCTCCCTTAGCATGGACCTCTACTTGAAATGCTAAGCAACAGGAAGTTCAAGGGAAGGTCCTCGTTTATTGAAGGAGGGCTGCCTTAGGTCATTATGTGCTGCTATTACAGAATAACTGATGATGACTAATGTTATGTACTGCTATTACAGAATAACTGATGATGACTAATGTTAAAGTCAAGAGGTTTATTTGGCTTAGGAATCTGGGGTATAGAAAGTCCAAACAGCTTGGTGCCAGCATTTGGGGAAGGCCCTCTGTCTGCATCACAATATGATGGGGAAGGTGAATGGAGAGGAAGCAGGCATTGACAAGTTGTGAAGCTGCAGGGCAGCCTCACATTGTAAGAGCTCACTCTTGCACTATCTAATCCAGTTTTGCAAGACCAAGCTCATTTCTGCAAGACAGACATCAATCCCTTCTAAGAGGTGGTGCCTATGATGACCTAATTACTTTCTACCAGGGCCCACCTCTTAAAGTTTCCACTACCTTTCCTCACTTGATTCTGGGGACCAAGCTTCTAGCAATGAACATTTGGGGGACAACAATATCCAAAAGATGGCAAAGCTACACTTATTTGTAAAGATGCTTTAGCAGGAGGTATCAGCTGAAGTTCAACCTTTCAGGGAATAGCTTCTCAAGGACAATTCCGGTCTTCAAAGGAGGGAGGAATTGCTCTTGTAGATTAGCAAATATTGTTTTGGCAGCATGGATTTTTATCAAGAGGGTGAGGATGGAGAGTTTATGCCTAAGGTCATCTGCAAGACAGAGTCCAGAGAACAGCTGTTTGGAACAGGACACAAAAGAGGCCCAGTGGATAATTCTGTCTTATGTCTCAACAGAAGAAAACAAGTAAAGTTATGTAGGCTGAGAGCTAAACACACACTCAATGACTTTCTGATTCATCAGACACAGTTGGCAAAAATTCTTTTTAATGCTTGCATTTATATACTTTTATATGTTCAGTAAGTTATGTTTTTGGTGATTTCTTTTTAAAGCAATGTGTAATAGCAAAACAAACAAACAAACAACAAAAAAAAGCACTTAGGGAAAAGCTTTTTAAGAAATCCTTCCTTCTATTTATTTGTTTTACTCCTGACTTGCTTTTTAATTTATTTCCTGTTAAAAGATAAATCTAAGGAAGATTGTTATGACAATCAGTTTCAAACTTCTATTGTACAATAGTCTGATCTTGAATAAATAATTAATTTGGGGGGAGAAAAAGATCAACATAAACATATCAAAACATCCTTGCATTATGATGAAAAAATACCTGAATTTTAGTTCTAGCACTAAAAATTAATCTTAAGAAAAAAAAAAGGCACCATTCAGTTACCACAGAAATGAAAAAATGAGTAGGAGAAGTGAGGAGGGAAAAGGTGACATGCCATTTGTGAAACAAAATATGAGAGGAGGTGAATGGATTAATGATAAGGAGATCCAAAGTTTACCCACAGGAACTAGCCCTCCCAAGAATCATGGAACAATCAGATAAAGGGTTTAGTAGTTGATAATATTAAGGGTGGCTCCCTCTAGTCACAATGAATATTTCCCTCCACATAGTGGCAGAATCATTTATTGAAATACAAAAGAGGTGCAGTATCTTAGGCATTCCAGGTGGGGACTGGGGTTTGTCATTTGTCAGCAAGTAAAATGGAGGGTCATTCTAACAATTTCCGAGTTTTCTAATGAGCCTACAGCTGTTTAGAGTGAATCAGAAAGGACATGGTTTGTTAACATTGTTAAGTGGAGATTACACAGCATGATCTGAGGTCTTTAGCAGGGAGAGGTGTAAGAATCAGCACTTTAAACTTAACATCCTGGAGGAACTTATTTTATTTTCTTTGTACTGGGAATTGAACCAGTGGCTTAATTACTGAGCCATATCCCCAGCCCATTTTTATGTTTTATTTTGAAACAAAGTCTGGCTAAGTTGCTTAGGGCCTCACAAACTGGCTGAGGCTGGCTTTGAACCTGCAATCTTATAGAAGCTTATTTTAAATTCAGTCCAAAGTATTACAAAGCTGTGTGACAAAATATCTAGGGAGTTTTTCTGAAAAGGATATTAAAGGTGGCCCAGAATATGAATACATAGTCATGACTATAAAAGTGTCAAACTTCTTCATACCTAAGGTTTTGTCAAGGGCTTCTCAATTCATGCATCATTCTATTTGATAAAAGATATCCCCCAACATCCTATCTGACATAAGGTGTCTATGCCTAGCAATATCTCCAAAAGTAGAAACATTGACTACAGAAAATAGTACTATTTTTTTTCCCAGAGGAAAAAACAAATCAATATGACTGTGAGTATAGCTCAGTGGTAAAGTACTTGCCTAGCATGCAGGAGACCTTGGGTTCAATCCCCAGTACCACAATAGAAAAAAGAAAGAAAAACAAACAAACAAACAAACAACAACAACAAAACAACTGACACCCTGATGGTAGAAATTGCAAGGTCATAAAGTGCTGTCCTCATTCTTTTGGTAAACCATGTAGCATCAGGAGATAATGTTTTTAATAGGAAAAAAAAGTTGTACAAATTCAGTAGTGCCAGCAAAGTTCAAAGCTCTTGTTTTGTTTTGTTGTTTTTGTTTTTGTTTGCTTGTTTTTTTTTTTAAATAGGCAAATTGTTGAATTTTACCTTCACATCAGTTTTTTTGAGGATTTAATATTAAAAGCATTGAAATCACAACCAAGAAGTGGCCACTGGGAATGAAGTCTTTTTGTTGAGTTGACATGCTAATTCTCTCAAAATAGGACATAGAAAACTGTTCCTTTTTATGGCAAGATGGTTACTAGAGAGATCAGGAAAATGTATATGCTGAGGATTTATGGATTTAAATAGCTTATTTTGTATTGTCCCTAACAAAATCCTTGTTAAAAAGAAATAGTTTGCATTAGTCTCAACAGACCTATTAATCTTCTGGTGCATCCATTGCCTGTGTTTGATTAAATCCCAATATTCCCACATTATCAACAAATTTCAGAATTACTTCTTTGAATTCTGTGTTGAAGGAACAAATTTTTATTGGATCAGGCATTTCCCTAAGCCATTATCAACATTGAATTTTATTTAGAAAAAGAAGTCACTCTTCTGAGCTCTGTCCTGAAGTTCACACTGTAACTTTCTCCTCTAAGAAATCACGGTTGTTCTAGGTTGACCCAGATGATTCAGTTCTGTGCTATGTGCCACACAAACTTCCCAGGTTCTCTTAATGACATAAAAGATGGAAGCAAGGATGGTGGCTTTCTTACCAGTCCTCACTTCTGGTAAAGTACAGCCAGCAGGCAGTGTTATTTCTGAACAAGACTGAGGAACAGGAAGAATCTGGTTTCTATGAATTGGATCTTGAGTGATCCACAAATTTCCATGTGTTGGAGACTTGCTGTTGGGAAATGGTGGAAAATTGAAGAGGTGAGGCCTACTGGAATGTGTCTCTGGGAGTATGCCCTCGGAGAGGATTCTGGGTCCCCAGCCCCTTCATGTTTCTCTATTTTTTGCTTCTGAGCCATGAGGTGAATAGTTTTTCTCTGCCGTGATGTGCCACTTCACCACAAGCCCCAAAGCAACAAGACCAACTCTTCAAGGACCGAAACTTCTAAAACTGTGCGTCAGAATAAACAATTTTTTCCTTTATAACTTGATTTATCTCAGATATTTGTTATAACGAAAGAAATCTGACAACACAATAGTATACTTCTGTTCAAGTTCATCATTTTCCTTGAGTAACTATTGGGTGTTATGAAACAAAAATATTACAAGAGGTAGAGTGGTATTAAATTCTTCAGTATGCCTCTAATAGCTCTTGAATGCACAAAGAACCTTTTTAAAATATTCAGGAACTATTAACCCCACTCAGAACATACAGTGGAAACTATTGCTTTAGATCTGTTGAAATCTCTTCTTGGATTAAACTCTAAGCATAGAAAAATGTGCAAATGAATTACATTAATTACCGCCTTTTCCCACCACTACTCTATTCTGCAACTCTCTGCCCTGAATTGTTTTTCCTGAATTGTACTTTGGGATTATGCCCTTGGGTCACATAGAGGATCATTAGAAGAAACAGTCCCGAGAAACTCATTATTTTATTTACTGTAAGAATTTTGTTGAGGATGTTGTTCTCTGCATTGCCCAATGGACACCTTGGGAAAACCCCCAAGAGAGGGATATCTCAAGGCGCAGTACCAGAAATAGTACTGTCCTTCCTTAGCAGGTGGTCATAGACATAGAGAATCACAAAACTGAATGTTTTTTTTTTTCCATTTACACTGGAGAATAGGATATACAGAGTAATTCTGGCTACATTTCTACAATCCATACAGAATATTGTAGCTTTTTCATTTTCTTATCGATACCTGTTTCCTTTGATCTTTCCTGCTACTATGTTCCCTTTGCTGTGATACATTAATCTACTTAATTATATTGAATTTTATAATAAAGATCTACATATAAAACTTCTTTGAAGAGTATAAATATGCCAACTGCCTTTCTAATGTGAGACCAAGATAACACTGGGAAGTCAAAGGTGTGGTCTTTAATGAAGAACTCAGGGGAAGATGGTTAATTACCATGACCATTAGCCATTAAGACTCCCAGTGTGTAAGTAGAGATGAAGATAGTTGTTCTTTGAATCAGAATCCATTGGGATAACACCTGTGCACAGGTATTTTTTTTAAGAGCTAGTAATTATAACATGTATTATCAGAAGAATGGTATTTCTGGCATAAAAATGACATGCACAAATGCCCTGAGAGGGAAAGAGACTTGGCATGGTTCAGAGGAAGCAAACATCTCAGCATGGCTGCACCCAAATGAGAAAAAAGGAACAATAAGGAGGTAATATGGAGAAGACGACAGGCCATATTTTAGGTAGAACCTTTGAAACCATGGTATAATGGTGTACTTTTTTATTTTTTTAACACAATGGAGGTACCAGCAGTTTCTTTGTTCAAAAGATCACTGAGGTAAAATTAACCTACAGTAAAACTCACTCCTTTTAGTGTATATTTCTATGAGTTTGTAGCCATCTCTACAATCAACACACAGAACATTTCTCTCATGCTCCATTATGCCCCTTGGAGTAAGCTCATCTTTCCACCCTACTTCCTGGTAACCATGGCTCAGCCTTCTGTCTCTACAGTTTCCCTTTCTGGAATATCTTATAAATGTGATCATATTTTTAAAACTGGCTTATTTCATTTAGCAAAATGTTTTTGCCATTTATTGAGGCTGTTGTGTGTGTATACCAAGCAGAGAATTGACATACTTATTTGTGTGCTGAGAATCCCATCATGGCTGTTAAGAGGTGATTGTAGCAGGTTAGGTAAAAGGGTGTGATGGTGGCTTCCATGGATTTCAGCAGCAGACAGGAATGCTGAGATGGTTGATAGGGGCAGCACCCTGAAAGCTGGCCTGAGAGGAATTCTAGCAGTTTAGATATGAGTCGAAAAAAATAATTGTCCTCTTGGGAAATAGTATTTCAGACAAATTAAAAAGTTAGATATTAAAAACAATAAAAGTACTAAATGAACTCTTAGGAGACTTTAATATAATTTTAAGACAATCACTTCTGAAGCAAAATGGAACTTAGGAAAGTATTTGTGATATAAAAAACTAAAATGTGTAGGAGTTGAGAGTCACCACAGAGTTATAAAACTAATGTCAGCAAGGGAGAAGCATTATTAGCCTGTATAAGCAAATGTGAGTGTAGACATAAAATGAGTAGCTGTCAATCTCTGAGATAAACAACCCAAAAGAAAAATGGGCAGAGCCAAAAAGACAATCTACTGAAGAAATATGAATGTCCAATATACACATAAAAAGATGATTATCCCCATTGCTTTTTGATTCAGCAGTTCTACATCTGGGAATCCATTCTATACCAAAATATGTATGTGGGCATAGATTGTTTTGCATCAATAGGGAAATAAATATGTAAATTTTGGTTCATTGGCACAATAAAAATATTATGTAGCTATTAAAAAGAATGAGCTAGGTCTGTTTTAAAAGAATGAGCTAGATCTCATTTAAAAAGAATGAGCTAGATCATGGGGAGTTCTGTGTTAAATAAAAAAGTTACAAAACAGTTTGTTAAGCATGATTCTATTGATAATTTTTAAAAAAAGTTTTGTGATTGTGTAGCAGAGAAAGAAAAAGAGAGGGAGTGAGGAGAGGAAGGGAGAGGGAGGGACAGAGGCTGAGACAGAGATAGGGAGAAAATAAATGGAAATAAATACAATTGGATGCACATTAAAAAGCTAAAAGGTCGATAGCAACACAGTGAATTGTGGTTTTGCATTGGGTATATAGGAGAAAAGAGATATCCATCCTTTTCTACTGCTAGGTTCATGGCTCAGTTCTTATAACAAAAGACAGCTTAACAAAAGAGAGGAGTTGGAAATGAAGACTCCCACCCCACACCCATCACAAGGAAATGTGCATTTTATGCTTGGGAATTATGAAAAAGTAGGCAGTCAGGGAGAGGTGAGATTGTAGAGAGGAGGGATGATGGAATGGGAAAAAATGGGGAACTTAGAAAGGCCTGTTGGTTCAGATCCTTCACTGGGTCCAGTGTCCCAGTGTCTTCAGAGATAAAGATTTTTCTTTCCTTCCAAGTACTAGGAAAAAGTGTTTATAAATGGGGGTCTTTGGGACCTGCTTCAGGACAGAAGTGTAGGGGGAAAGGTCAGAGCGAACTTCCTGGATTTTTTTGACTTGCAATCAGGGAAGAAGGGCAAAGAAAGAGTTCAGAAAGACCCTTCACCAATTCTTTTGAGTAAGCATATTTTGGGATCTTTGTCCTAAACTACATACTGTATGATTTTAAAATCTTTTCATATTCTTTATTCATATGCTTTGTAGAGTTTGACTGTATTTAAGATTTAAAATAATGTTCTTGTAAACATTATCTGAATGATTTTTCTTATACATTAAGTCTTGGAAAGGTGCATCAAGGGTTCTTCTACTGTGGTTTAATGCTTGTTCCCTCCCAAATTCATGTTGAAATTTATTTACCCTTGAAATGATATTGAAAGGTAGAACGTTTAAAATATAAAGAGGTGATTAGGCCAGGAGGACTCTTTCTCTTTGCAAATATGGAAGGGTACACAATTATGCCAGTTATCCAAAGCCATCGTAACCAAATAGCACAAAGTAGATAGTTTAAAAGAATTTACTGTTTCAGAGTTCTTGAGTCTGCAAGTCTAAAATCAGGATGTCAGCACACCCAAGCTCCCTTGAGACTATGGGAAAAGTCTCTTCTAGCCTCATCCTAGCTTTTCGTGGTAGCTGTCAATCTTGGTATTCCTTGTCAGGCAGCTATAAAAATACAATCCCTGTTTCCATTCTGCATATGATATTGCTTCCTTATTT